TTAACTCCCTTGAGGTGCCAACTTCTCTTTGGCGAGGAAGAAAATTTGCATTCAGATCGCCAATTAGCAATATTTCCTTTTTCTCAGTTGTGGCGCCTATAGTAAGGGATTCTTCCAGTTCAGAATTAAAATTGTCACTTAAATATTGGGAACCAACAGGAGGTCGATAAATTGCCCCAAATAAAATATTCTTTGAGTTGTTTATAAGAATTTCAATAAACCATTTCATAATTTTCATAAACCAGGTAAATTGAGAATTTTAACATTGTTTGGTAAATTATGATATTCAACTTGTTTGATGTGGAAAAAAATTCGTTTTATGACAGAGATTCACAAAAATGTTTTTGATTGACATCCAACAAAATCATGTCTAGAATGAGACACTGTCTTGAACGCTAATCCTTCAACAAAAGCTTGATATATCAGCTTGCTAAAATGCAGGGCAATTATTGATGTTTGAAATTAAAGGGGAGAATAAAATAAAATATTATTTTGTTTCCAGGAGCAAGTCAGGTAATGATTTTATTCAAGCTTTTAAAATACTGTAGAAAATGCCTTATCATGTAGGACCCATATAGGAAGATGGATGCACAAGTATTTATTGTAAAGCTAAATCCCCTGAGTTCCACAAGGTGAATTTGCTACTGAATTGCCATACAATAGTGTAAAAAAAAGCTTAACTTGGTAGAGTAAACTAGTAATCATAAAATTACACGTTAAATAAGATACATACCCAATGTCATCACGATAGACACGAGATATCAGAACCTCTCCCTTGTGGTTGTATATGAACAAACCCCCAATCATTTTTACACTTTGTCTCGATAGAAACTTGTTAAAAAGTGTAACTAAATAAAAAAGATAATATTCAAAGACTATATCGAGGTTTTGAGATGAAGTTAATGCTATTTTTAGGCGAATTAAGCGGCTAAATCAGAATACAGCAGTAATCTTGCGCTGACTTTCATGCCGCCATTTTCGTTACAGACACCCACATCTCCAACCATTACCATATAAGGTAGTATTTACCAAATTTGGAACGGCAGTTGCTACTAAGAATAAAAGCGAGGCTGATAGTTTTGTTATTTTTTTCACAGGTAGCCCAAGCAAGCTTGGTTTCTGTGGTGTCCTGTTATAAAGAAATGGGATTCATCAAAAATATCAATAAAATCCTTGAAACGTGAAATAAAGCCTCGAAATTTTACCCGATCATTGAGAAATAGCACTTCTTTCGCTCTGCGTGGTTATTTTTTGAATTTAACCCGTTTTAAGATTTTTTTCCCCACCAGTAAGTACACATACTACCTCACATACTACCTCAATTGTTCTGACCCRTGCTTGGAGCTCACTGTACACCAGTTCAACGGATTTCCTTCGGCAACTGACCCGAGGTCACGCCGGAAGTTTTCGTATCGTAAATGCGGATTGGATTTGGATATATAGTCTTTTTTCGAAATATATCCAAATCCAATCTGCATTTACGATACGAAAACTTCCGGCGTCTTTATTTCACGTTTAGATGATTTTATTGAAATTTTTGATGAATCCCCTCACATTTCTTTATGACAGAACACCACAGAAACCAAGCTTGGGCTATCTGTGCTTTTTTAGGAATTATTTTTATTATTTGTCATTTTATTTAATTTTTTAATATATTTTTCTTATTGGGTTTTTACCTAATTTGAAATATCATTTACTTTATATTTATTAAATGCACAATTTTTATCTATTTATTTATTTACTTTATCCTTAGATTTTTTATTATTTTTTTGCTTCTTATATAATTATATATAGCATTATTTTAATTGTAATTAATTAGGCCCTTTATTCTGAAAAGCCTTA